AAGGGGAATTTTCCCACAGCACGTGAAGGCAGACTTCACCGACGTCACTTTGAATGAAAAAGAAGCGCTCAGCTGTGGAGCAGGCAGAGGGAGGCGTGCGGTCTGTCAGCCTGCACACACCAGAGCTGTGTCGAGACAAGGACTCCACAGAAATCGGTCGGGAAAACAAGTTGTGGTTGTGCAGTTTTTGTTTTGCTTGACCCCCATTATGGCTGACCATCTTCTACATTACAATGACTCTGCTAGTGTTGGGAACCGATTCGCCCGCAAAGGTGCTTTGCGGCAGAAAAACGTGTATGAAGTGAAAAACCACAAATTTACTGCGAGGTTTTTCAAGCAGCCGACGTTCTGCAGCCATTGTAAAGACTTCATATGGTAAGCATCCATAAAACACAACTGTCTTGCCATTCACTTGACATGAACTATTAGGAATGCTTTGAGATTCTTTAACAAGTTTAATGGTCACAACCTTAATGTTATTGGAGTCTGCAGAAAACTGAAAGTTATTTTTTTGAAGGCTGTAGACAGATTACAATTAGTTTCAAATGACTGACTAGTTTAAATGCAATTTGTTGCTGAACAATGCCCCTCTAATATTACTTTTTGATTTTTGTTGCAGGGGATTTGGGAAACAAGGATTTCAATGCCAAGGTAAACCACTTGCATGTGTATTTTGGTACATTTGTTACCAGCAGATTCAGATAAAGGAATGAAGCAGGATGTCACAATTTGGCTTTTTCACCCAAACAGTATCCCTGAACATATCAGAAAAGTTGAGGGTGCTTGGTAAACAGTTGTCGTCTTGTTTAATACATTTTCTTTTTAAATATACACTCTGGCTTAGTCTCAATTTAGGCATCTGAAAGGGCGTCAAGTGATTTCAAGAGGAAAAACTGGAGGTTGCATATCAAATCACACATGAAATAGAGCCCACACAGCAAAACATTTAAAGTTTCAAAAGTTTTATTTTGTTTCTTCGGGAGGACATCACATTCTGCAAGCAAGAAAGCAGGTGTTAATATTTGAAAGACAGTCATCTTTGAAATGTCAAGGTTTCAAACATTTACCTGCAACTTCCAATTCAAAAATCCATGTTGGTTACTGAAAGGCAAACGTTAGTTATCAGGCATTGATTTAAACGGGCATTTAGGAGAATGAAGCTTGAAGCTGTGCACATACCTCCATGGGTTCTTTACACCTTTCGGGCAGCTGGTTGAGCCGCAACACCCTCTATGTTTACAGGGATTGGAACGGGAAATTCTGGAGAGTAGCTGGTGTTGGATTGTCGATACTGTGCTCGCTCGTAGCCGTTTCTGGACTGGCTTATATAGCTTTGAGCGAATGGTTCAGACGCTCTGGGGCTAGAAACTGGTTTTGGCATCTTTCCATAATTTTGCTTTGCAGGTTGGGCTCTTTCATTGGTTGGGTTCTTGGGGAATGAGGGCCCTTTTGGTGGTGGAGCAGATCCTGTTGAAGTCCCCTGGCCCGCAGCTTGACCATACCCTCCTGCAGTATTGGAAGTGTCAATATTCTCAGATGGATATTGAAAGACGTCTTCAAAAACAAGATGAGGGATGTTCCTTGATCCACTTTCACGGGAGCCAAGGTTGATGTTCTGGTTAGCCAAACTAGACTGGCTTATATAGCTTTGAGCGAATGGTTCACTCACTCTCTGGGGAGCAAACGCTCTGGGGCTAGAAACTGGTTTTGGCATCTTTCCATAATTTTGCTTTGCAGGTTGGGCTCTTTCATTAGTTGGGTTCTTGGGGAATGAGGGCCCTTTTGGTGGTGGAGCAGATCCTGTTGAAGTCCCCTGGCCCGCAGCTTGACCATACCCTCCTGCAGTATTGGAAGTGTCAATATTCTCAGATGGATATTGAAAGACGTCTTCAAAACCAAGATGAGGGATGTTCCTTGAGCCACTTTCACGGGAGCCAAGGTTGATGTTCTGGTTAGCCAAACTAGAACCACTGCTTGCTGGCTTAGGCTGCCACGACTCAACGCTTGGAAACTTTACAACATTGGATGTGGAAGATGCTGCAGGCTCAAAGGCGGCTTCACGAGTAAACACAACAGCTGGATAAGCAGGCATACCATTTGTAGAAGGACTTTGGATAGGGCTTTGCTGAGAATTTGCAGGAGCAATCGGAGGATAGTTGGGGCTTAAAGGAAATACAAGTGGGTTTTCAAGGTTTTCCTGGCCCCAGTCTGTTGAGCCGCCATTAATAAGCCCCTCTACCGCAGGAGCACGTTGTGCGTTTAGTTGAGGTGTGGCTGAACCAGAACCAGGTTGTTGGTAACTTGGGTTCTTGGGGAATGAGGGCCCTTTTGGTGGTGGAGCAGATCCTGTTGAAGTCCCCTGGCCCGCAGCTTGACCATACCCTCCTGCAGTATTGGAAGTGTCAATATTCTCAGATGGATATTGAAAGAAGTCTTCAAAAACAAGATGAGGGATGTTCCTTGATCCACTTTCACGGGAGCCAAGGTTGATGTTCTGGTTAGCCAAACTAGAACCACTGCTTGCTGGCTTAGGCTGCCACGACTCAACGCTTGGAAACTTTACAGCATTGGATGTGGAAGATGGTGCAGGCTCCAAGGCGGCTTCACGAGTAAGCACAACAGCTGGATAAGCAGGCATACCATTTGTAGAAGGACTTTGGATAGGGCTTTGCTGAGAATTTGCAGGAGCAATCGGAGGGTAGTTGAGGTTTAAAGGAAATTCAAGTGGGTTTTCCTGGCCCCAGTCTGTTGAGCCGCCATTAAAAAGCCCCTCTACCGCAGGAGCACGTTGTGCGTTTAGTTGAGGTGTGGCTGAACCAGAACCAGGTTGTTTGTAACTTGGGTCTTCATAATATGGATATCCATAATCTGCAATAGTAACAATTTAAATTACAGAAGATATTCCTTCAGCCAAATGTACCAATTGAGTTAAGTCACATTACCTCTTGCAATTGCTAATCCTACAGTGAAGTCACACAGCAACAGACAAATCCAGGAAACTCTGCAAGTAAAGAAGAAACATGCAATTTAAAATCTGTTCAAGATAATTGAAACAAATGAAATAAACATCAATCAAATATACCTGAAAAGTGGTCCAAGAGCCATGACTGTAAGCTGAAAAGCAGCACACCTTACTCTTCAGAAGCTATGGTTTGGGACAAGCAGCTCACTGGGTCTGACTGGAGTTGAGAGTAACCTGTGTATGGTTAGAGAGCCCTCTGTGTCTCTTTTATATCCAGTTCACTTAACGAAGCCCATTGGCAGCACCTGGTCCCAGGCCAATCAGAGACCAAACCATGAACAGGTGTGACAGCTGGACAACACCTCCCATTGTTTCAGTGGGAAAGTTATCCTTTCAAACTCTGTTGTACTGAAACGTTTTCTAGTTTTGCTTTCTTGAAGAACACTTTTTTCTTCAATAAACACCTTTCCTTACATTTGACCTAGCATTTTGCACATTGCCAGAAGGCTTGTAGTAGATTGTCACCTAATGTTTCTACAGGGAGTCAGTGTGCCCTGAAACCAACACCATGTTGCCAACATCTTTGCTAGTATAACATTTCCCCCTAAACATCTGATACTGTGGCAGGAGTGAAAGGTAAGGGCTAGGAGTGAGGGAGAGAAAGATGTAAAAAGTGGGAAGAGTTCAAATGGAAAATACTTTAAATCCAGTTTAGATCATAACAAGGGCACTTGTACAACACATTAAAACAACAAATATAGTGTAAAAGTTATGGAAATTATGTTTATTGTTTGATGCCTAATAGAAGTCAGATAGCTTTGTTACATTCACATTGTTCTCCTCCATTTGCATATTTGCAAGTACATAAATAAATGCATGGCTCTAATTCCTCACACTTTCTCTGACAAGATTTTACATCTTAGAGTAAAAACTACCAGATATCGAAAAAAGGCTTTATCATCAGTTTCAGGAGGGCCCAGTCCGTAGAGCTGATGTGCATTTTGGAGGTATCTCAAAATGGGTGGAATGAGCAGAAGCAGAATAGGAAAACAAATAAATACTTTACTAAACAATCCTGTTGCTCACTGCACTACAGTGATGATAAACTCACTAGGCTACTGTGAATCCATCTTGTGCACACTAGCCTATATTTCCACCAAATGTACCAGCATGTGTATTGTTCTCGTGCCAACTACTGTCATGTAACATAGTGATGCTGCAGTAAGAAGATCTGTGGCTTTAATGAACTCTCTGCTGAAACAGTGTCTACCCTATGTTCCAGATCCATGTAGACACGTGTCATTTACATGGGAACATTTAATATGGATATTTTAAAGTATGTTGCGCTGGTTTTCATGCATGTATACAAGGGATAACATTGCCTTGAGATTACAATTCATGTTCCTTTTTTTCTGAATGGTGATACATTTTTAATTCCTCTTGAGTACAGGGGCTTAATTGTCTGACAGGGGGAGGTTGACCATGAAAGCATCATAGAAGCGGGCTGAAAGATGCATGTTCTTGGATATACACAGGATGTTAGATGTTTTTCTTGTACAGTGTGCATGGGGAACGCATTGCTTTTCGCGTACCATATAGTGGGATCATCCCCAGAAGCCTTGATGTACAGATTTCTCTTTCCTTTAAGGGATGGATGCATAATAGCTTTTGCAATTCTTGATAACATTATAAAGATGTGGGATACTGGATTGTTAATATATGCAAGACAGATTTTATCTGTGATATTTCTTATGAGACTGTAAATCGCTAAATATATATAAGCCCTGAATGCAGAAGTGTTGATCATGCATCAAGCTAAAAAAAAAATATTTGCTCACCAGCAGGTCTGATGAGTTATTAGAAAGTGTGGCTCCTGTGATCATTTATCACATATGATAAATATATTTATTAATTTCCCTGCATGGCAGTTTATGGTTACTAAGGTGTGGACAGATTAAGGGCCGTCTGGTGTGTCCTGCTGTGCATCGAAAATCTACGCACACCACCTTCAGTTTGTGGGATGGTCTGCAACGGATGGATGAAATTGTCGGCTTGGTTTAATATTTTTTCTTTTTAAATATACACTCTGGCTTAGCCTCAATTTAGCCATCTGAAAGGGTGTCAAGTGATTTCAAGAGGAAAAACTAGAGATTGCATATCAAATCACACATGGAAATAGAGCCCACACAGCAAAAAGTTTAAAGTTTAAAGTTTTATTTTGTTTCTTCGGGAGGACATCACATTCTGCAAGCATGAAAGCAGGTGTTAATATTTGAAAGACAGTCATCTTTGAAATGTCAAGGTTTCAAACATTTACCTGCAACTTCCAATTCAAAAATCCATGTTGGTTACCATTTGGTCCTGAAAGGCAAACGTTAGTTATCAGGCATTGGTTTAAACAGGCATTTAGGAGAATGAAGCTTGAAGCTGTGCACATACCTTGGAGAGTAGCTGGTGTTGGATTGTCGATACTGTGCTCGCTGGTAGCTGTTTTTGGACTGGATTATATAGCTTTGAGCGAATGGTTCACTCACTCTCTGGGGAGCCAACGTTTTTCTGGGGCTAGAAACTGGTTTTGGCATCTTTCCATAATTTTGCTTTGCAGGTTGGGCCCTTTCATTTGCTGGGTTCTTGGGGAATGAGGGCCCTTTTGGTGGTGGAGCAGATCCTGTTGAAGTCCCCTGGCCCGCAGCTTGACCATACCCTCCTGCAGTATTGGAAGCGTCAATATTCTCAGATGGATATTGAAAGACGTCTTCAAAAACAAGATGAGGGATGTTCCTTGATCCACTTTCACGGGAGCCAAGGTTGATGTTCTGGTTAGCCAAACTAGAACCACCGCTTGCTGGTTTAGGCTGCCACGACTCAACACTTGGAAACTTTACAACATTGGATGTGGAAGATGGTGCAGGCTCAAAGGCGGCTTCACGAGTAAACGCAACAGCTGGATAAGCAGGCATACCATTTGTAGAAGGACTTTGGATAGGACTTTGCTGAGAATTTGCAGGAGCAATCGGAGGGTAGTTGGGGCTTAAAGGAAATTCAAGTGGGTTTTTAAGGTTTTCCTGGCCCCAGTCTGTTGAGCCGCCATTAATAAGCCCCTCTACCGCAGGAGCACGTTGTGCGTTTAGTTGAGGTGTGGCTGAACCAGAACCAGGTTGTTGGTAACTTGGGTTCTTGGGGAATGAGGGCCCTTTTGGTGGTGGAGCAGATCCTGTTGAAGTCCCCTGGCCCGCAGCTTGACCATACCCTCCTGCAGTATTGGAAGTGTCAATATTCTCAGATGGATATTGAAAGAAGTCTTCAAAAACAAGATGAGGGATGTTCCTTGATCCACTTTCACGGGAGCCAAGGTTGATGTTCTGGTTAGCCAAACTAGAACCACTGCTTGCTGGCTTAGGCTTCCACGACTCAACGCTTGGAAACTTTACAGCATTGGATGTGGAAGATGGTGCAGGCTCCAAGGCGGCTTCACGAGTAAGCACAACAGCTGGATAAGCAGGCATACCATTTGTAGAAGGACTTTGGATAGGGCTTTGCTGAGAATTTGCAGGAGCAATCGGAGGGTAGTTGAGGTTTAAAGGAAATTCAAGTGGGTTTTCCTGGCCCCAGTCTGTTGAGCCGCCATTAAAAAGCCCCTCTACCGCAGGAGCACGTTGTGCGTTTAGTTGAGGTGTGGCTGAACCAGAACCAGGTTGTTTGTAACTTGGGTCTTCATAATATGGATATCCATAATCTGCAATAGTAACAATTTAAATTACAGAAGATATTCCTTCAGCCAAATGTGCCAATTGAGTTAAGTCACATTACCTCTTGCAATTGCTAATCCTACAGTGAAGTCACACAGCAACAGACACATCCAGGAAACTCTGCAAGTAAAGAAGAAACATGCAATTTAAAATCTGTTCAAGATAATTGAAACAAATGAAGTAAACCTCAATCAAATATACCTGAAAAGTGGTCCAAGAGCCATAACTGTAAGCTGAAAAGCAGCACACCTTACTCTTCAGAAGCTATGGTTTGGGACAAGCAGCTCACTGGGTCTGACTGGAGTTGAGAGTAACCTGTGTATGGTTAGAAAGCCCTCTGTGTCTCTTTTATATCCAGTTCACTTAACGAAGCCCATTGGCAGCACCTGGTCCCAGGGCAATCAGAGACCAAACCATGAACAGGTGTGACAGCTGGACAACAACTCCCATTGTTTCAGTGTGAAAGTTATCCTTTCAAACTCTGTTGTACTGAAATGTTTTATAGTGTTGCTTTCTTGAAAAACACCTTTTTCTTCAATAAACACCTTTCCTTACATTTGACCTAGCATTTTGCACATTGTAGCAGCCAAAAGGCTTGTAGTATACACTGTATTTTCACCTAATGCTTCTACAGGGAGTCAGTGTGCCCTGAAACCAACACCATGTTGCCAACATCTTTGCTAGTATAACATTTCCCCCTAAACATCTGATACTGTGGCAGGAGTGAAAGGTAATGGAAAGGGCTAGGAGTGAGGGAGAGAAAGATGTAAAAAGTGGGAAGAGTTCAAATGGAAAATACTTTAAATCCAGTTTAGATTATAACAAGGGCACTTGTACAACACATTAAAACAACAAATATAATGTAAAAGTTATGGAAATTATGTTTATTGTTTGATGCCTAATAGAAGTCAGATAGCTTTGTTACATTCACATTGTTCTCCTCCATTTGCATATTTGCAAGTACATAAATAAATGCATGGCTCTAATTCCTCACACTTTCTCTGACAAGATTTTACAGCTTAGAGTAAAAACTACCAGATATCGAAAAAGGCTTTATCATCAGTTTCAGGAGGGCCCAGTCCGTAGAGCTGATGTGCATTTTGGAGGTATCTCAAAATGGGTGGAATGAGCAGAAGCAGAATAGGAAAACAAATAAATACTTTACTAAACAATCCTGTTGCTCACTGCACTACAGTGATGATAAACTCACTAGACTACTGTGAATCCATCTTGTGCACACTAGCCTATATTTCCACCAAATTTACCAGCATGTGTATTGTTCTCGTGCCAACTACTGTCATGTAACATAGTGATGCTGCAGTAAGAAGATCTGTGGCTTTAATGAACTCTGTGCTGAAACAGTGTCTACCCTATGTTCCAGATCCATGTAGACACGTGTCATTTACATGGGAACATTTAATATGGATATTTTAAAGTATGTTGCGCTGGTTTTCATGCATGTATACAAGGGGTAACATTGCCTTGAGATTACAATTCATGTTCCTTTTTTTCTGAATGGTGATACATTTTTAATTCCTCTTGAGTACAGGGGCTTAATTGTCTGACAGGGGAGCTTGACCATGAAAGCATCATAGAAGCGGGCTGAAAGATGCATGTTCTTGGATATACACAGGATGTTAGATGTTTTTCTTGTACAGTGTGCATGGGGAACGCATTGCTTTTCGCGTACCATATAGTGGGATCATCCCCAGAAGCCTTGATGTACAGATTTCTCTTTCCTTTAAGGGATGGATGCATAATAGCTTATGCAATTCTTGATAACATTATAAAGATGTGGGATACTGGATTGTTAATATATGTAAGACAGATTTTATCTGTGATATTTCTTATGAGACTTTAAATCGCTAAATATATATAAGCCCTGAATGCAGACGTGTTGATCATGCATCAAGCTAAAAAAAAAATATATTTGCTCACCAGCAGGTCTTATGAGTTATTATTAAGTGTGGCTCCTGTGAATATATAAATATATATATTAATTTCCCTGCATGGCAGTTTATGGTTACTAAGGTGTGGACAGATTAAGGGCTGTCTGGTGTGTCCTGCTGTGCATCGAAAATCTACGCACACCACCTTCAGTTTGTGGGATGTCTGCAACGGATGGATGAAATTGTCGACTTGGTTTAATATTTTTTCTTTTTAAATATACACTCTGGCTTAGCCATCTGAAAGGGTGTCAAGTGATTTCAAGAGGAAAAACTGGAGGTTGCATATCAAATCACACATGGAAATAGAGCCCACACAGCAAAAAGTTTAAAGTTTAAAAAGTTTTATTTTGTTTCTTCGGGATGACATCACATTCTGCAAGCATGAAAGCAGGTGTTAATATTTGAAAGACAGTCATCTTTGAAATGTCAAGGTTTCAAACATTTACCTGCAACTTCCAATTCAAAAATCCATGTTGGTTACCATTTGGTCCTGAAAGGCAAACGTTAGTTATCAGGCATTGGTTTAAACAGGCATTTAGGAGAATGAAGCTTGAAGCTGTGCACATACCTTGGAGAGTAGCTGGTGTTGGATTGTCGATACTGTGCTCGCTGGTAGCTGTTTCTGGACTGGCTTATATAGCTTTGAGCGAATGGTTCACTCACTCTCTGGGGAGCCAACGCTTTTCTGGGGCTAGAAACTGGTTTTAGCATCTTTCCATAATTTTGCTTTGCAGGTTGGGCCCTTTCATTTGCTGGGTTCTTGGGGAATGAGGGCCCTTTTGGTGGTGGAGCAGATCCTGTTGAAGTCCCCTGGCCCACAGCTTGACCATACCCTCCTGCAGTATTGGAAGTGTCAATATTCTCAGATGGATATTGAAAGACGTCTTTAAAAACAAGATGAGGGATGTTCCTTGATCCACTTTCACGGGAGCCAATGTGGATGTTCTGGTTAGCCAAACTAGAACCACCGCTTGCTGGCTTAGGCTGCCACGACTCAACGCTTGGAAACTTTACAACATTGGATGTGGAAGATGGTGCAGGCTCCAAGGCGGCTTCACGAGTAAACACAACAGCTGGATAAGCAGGCATACCATTTGTAGAAGGACTTTGCTGAGAATTTGCAGGAGCAATCGGAGGGTAGTTGGGGCTTAAAGGAAAAGTAAGTGGGTTTTTAAGGTTTTCCTGGCCCCAGTCTGTTGAGCCGCCATTAAAAAGCCCCTCTACCGCAGGAGCACGTTGTGCGTTTAGTTGAGGTGTGGCTGAACCAGAACCAGGTTGTTGGTAACTTGGGTTTTTGGGGAATGAGGGCCCTTTTGGTGGTGGAGCAGATCCTGTTGAAGTCCCCTGGCCCGCAGCTTGACCATACCCTCCTGCAGTATTGGAAGTGTCAATATTCTCAGATGGATATTGAAAGACGTCTTCAAAAACAAGATGAGGGATGTTCCTTGATCCACTTTCACGGGAGCCAAGGTTGATGTTCTGGTTAGCCAAACTAGAACCACTGCTTGCTGGCTTAGGCTGCCACGACTCAACGCTTGGAAACTTTACAACATTGGATGTGGAAGATGGTGCAGGCTCCAAGGCGGCTTCACGAGTAAACACAACAGCTGGATAAGCAGGCATACCATTTGTAGAAGGACTTTGCTGAGAATTTGCAGGAGCAATCGGAGGGTAGTTGGGGCTTAAAGGAAATTTAAGTGGGTTTTTAAGGTTTTCCTGGCCCCAGTCTGTTGAGCCGCCATTAATAAGCCCCTCTACCGCAGGAGCACGTTGTGCGTTTAGTTGAGGTGTGGCTGAACCAGAACCAGGTTGTTGGTAACTTGGGTTTTTGGGGAATGAGGGCCCTTTTGGTGGTGGAGCAGATCCTGTTGAAGTCCCCTGGCCCGCAGCTTGACCATACCCTCCTGCAGTATTGGAAGTGTCAATATTCTCAGATGGATATTGAAAGACGTCTTCAAAAACAAGATGAGGGATGTTCCTTGATCCACTTTCACGGGAGCCAAGGTTGATGTTCTGGTTAGCCAAACTAGAACCACTGCTTGCTGGCTTAGGCTGCCACGACTCAACGCTTGGAAACTTTACAACATTGGATGTGGAAGATGGTGCAGGCTCCAAGGCGGCTTCACGAGTAAACACAACAGCTGGATAAGCAGGCATACCATTTGTAGAAGGACTTTGCTGAGAATTTGCAGGAGCAATCGGAGGGTAGTTGGGGCTTAAAGGAAATTTAAGTGGGTTTTTAAGGTTTTCCTGGCCCCAGTCTGTTGAGCCGCCATTAATAAGCCCCTCTACCGCAGGAGCACGTTGTGCGTTTAGTTGAGGTGTGGCTGAACCAGAACCAGGTTGTTGGTAACTTGGGTTCTTGGGGAATGAGGGCCCTTTTGGTGGTGGAGCAGATCCTGTTGAAGTCCCCTGGCCCGCAGCTTGACCATACCCTCCTGCAGTATTGGAAGTGTCAATATTCTCAGATGGATATTGAAAGAAGTCTTCAAAAACAAGATGAGGGATGTTCCTTGATCCACTTTCACGGGAGCCAAGGTTGATGTTCTGGTTAGCCAAACTAGAACCACTGCTTGCTGGCTTAGGCTTCCACGACTCAACGCTTGGAAACTTTACAGCATTGGATGTGGAAGATGGTGCAGGCTCCAAGGCGGCTTCACGAGTAAGCACAACAGCTGGATAAGCAGGCATACCATTTGTAGAAGGACTTTGGATAGGGCTTTGCTGAGAATTTGCAGGAGCAATCGGAGGGTAGTTGAGGTTTAAAGGAAATTCAAGTGGGTTTTCCTGGCCCCAGTCTGTTGAGCCGCCATTAAAAAGCCCCTCTACCGCAGGAGCACGTTGTGCGTTTAGTTGAGGTGTGGCTGAACCAGAACCAGGTTGTTTGTAACTTGGGTCTTCATAATATGGATATCCATAATCTGCAATAGTAACAATTTAAATTACAGAAGATATTCCTTCAGCCAAATGTACCAATTGAGTTAAGTCACATTACCTCTTGCAATTGCTAATCCTACAGTGAAGTCACACAGCAACAGACAAATCCAGGAAACTCTGCAAGTAAAGAAGAAACATGCAATTTAAAATCTGTTCAAGATAATTGAAACAAATGAAGTAAACCTCAATCAAATATACCTGAAAAGTGGTCCAAGAGCCATAACTGTAAGCTGAAAAGCAGCACACCTTACTCTTCAGAAGCTATGGTTTGGGACAAGCAGCTCACTGGGTCAGACTGGAGTTGAGAGTAACCTGTGTATGGTTAGAAAGCCCTCTGTGTCTCTTTTATATCCAGTTCACTTAACGAAGCCCATTGGCAGCACCTGGTCCCAGGGCAATCAGAGACCAAACCATGAACAGGTGTGACAGCTGGACAACACCTCCCATTGTTTCAGTGTGAAAGTTATCCTTTCAAACTCTGTTGTACTGAAATGTTTTATAGTGTTGCTTTCTTGAAAAACACCTTTTTCTTCAATAAACACCTTTCCTTACATTTGACCTAGCATTTTGCACATTGCCAGAAGGCTTGTAGTAGATGTTCACCTAATGCTTCTACAGGGAGTCAGTGTGCCCTGAAACCAACACCATGTTGCCAACATCTTTGCTAGTATAACATTTCCCCCTAAACATCTGATACTGTGGCAGGAGTGAAAGGTAAGGGAAAGGGCTAGGAGTGAGGGAGAGAAAGATGAAAAAAGTGGGAAGAGTTCAAATGGAAAATACTTTAAATCCAGTTTAGATCATAACAAGGGCACTTGTACAACACATTAAAACAACAAATATAGTGTAAAAGTTATGGAAATTATGTTTATTGTTTGATGCCTAATAGAAGTCAGATAGCTTTGTTACATTCACATTGTTCTCCTCCATTTGCATATTTGCAAGTACATAAATAAATGCATGGCTCTAATTCCTCACACTTTCTCTGACAAGATTTTACAGCTTAGAGTAAAAACTACCAGATATCGAAAAAGGCTTTATCATCAGTTTCAGGAGGGCCCAGTCCGTAGAGCTGATGTGCATTTTGGAGGTATCTCAAAATGGGTGGAATGAGCAGAAGCAGAATAGGAAAACAAATAAATACTTTACTAAACAATCCTGTTGCTCACTGCACTACAGTGATGATAAACTCACTAGGCTAGTGTGAATCCATCTTGTGCACACTAGCCTATATTTCCACCAAATTTACCAGCATGTGTATTGTTCTCGTGCCAACTACTGTCATGTAACATAGTGATGCTGCAGTAAGAAGATCTGTGGCTTTAATGAACTCTCTGCTGAAACAGTGTCTACCCTATGTTCCAGATCCATGTAGACACGTGTCATTTACATGGGAACATTTAATATGGATATTTTAAAGTATGTTGCGCTGGTTTTCATGCATGTATACAAGGGGTAACATTGCCTTGAGATTACAATTCATGTTCCTTTTTTTCTGAATGGTGATACATTTTTAATTCCTCTTGAGTACAGGGGCTTAATTGTCTGACAGGGGGAGGTTGACCATGAAAGCATCATAGAAGCGGGCTGAAAGATGCATGTTCTTGGATATACACAGGATGTTAAATGTTTTTCTTGTACAGTGTGCATGGGGAACGCATTGCTTTTCGCGTACCATATAGTGCAGGGGTGGGCAATTATTTTTTACAAGGGGCCACTTCAGAAACTCGAGCTGTGTTTGGGTGCCGAATCAAAAATAAGTTGAACTTAATTCTGCTCAATATACCAATACTGAAAAGGTGTTTTACAGTATGTTAAAGATAAGAAATGAATCAGCTTTATACAAAAAGAAATGAGTGCTTTTGATTTTTGTTTTTCAGTTAATTTTACTTGTTCAGTGAGAAAAATCCAGTCTGTCTTGGGCTTGAACAAGTGCACGGAAATCTGGTTCAATGTCTGAGGTGGATATGCGAAGGACAGCTGAGAGGTGATCATCAGTGATAGAGGATCTGTATCTGGATTTGTTGAACTTCATCACTGAGAATGTCTGTTCACATATGTAGGTAGATCCAAAGAGGACCATCATCTTCTGAGCACGTCTCCTGATGTGTGGAAAGTTCTCCTCTTTCAGGGAAAAGTAAAACTCAGGCAGTGAGACTGACCTAAAGTGCTCTGACAGAAGTGTGTCAGACTGCAGGTCAATGAGTTCAAGCTGAACATCACTGGGTGCATCATCCACATGGCATGTAAATGGGGAAAAGATCATGTTCATTTCATTCTCAACTGTTTTGAAGTCTTTAAATCGCCTTGAAAACTCACCATGCAGTGCTTCTAACATGGATGAGTACCTCTGGAGGTGATCAGCTGATGGTGTGGCTTCCTTCAGTGTTGGCAAGTGCGTGAGAATGTTGTCCTCCATTTGGCTTGAGAGAAGCTGCAGCTTTCTCATGAAAGCCTTCACTGCACTGTACATGTCATGCACAACAAGGCCCTTGCCTTGCAGTTTGACATTTAGTTCACTCATTAGTGCAGTCACATCTACCAAGGTCTGCCATCCAGTCTGCATCTGAAAGCTGTGGGATGTCGTTTCCTTTCTTCACACAGAAGTCTTGAATTTCTTCTCTCAGGTCCCATACTCTTTTCAGCACTTTGCCCAGGCTGAGCCACCTGACAGCTGCATGGTAGGGTATGTCACGATGTTCAGTCTCACTTTCCTCCAAAAGTGCAACAAACTGTCTGTGATTCAATGCTCTTGCCCTGATGAAGTTAACTATTTTAGTTACAACATCAACAACATGGTTAATTTTTAACACTGACTTACACAACACTTCCTGATGTATAATACAATGCAAAAATACCTATTTCTGCTCAGGGTTAATTTCTGTCACTTTATCCTGCATTCTCTTCAATAGTCCAACATTTTTCCCTGTCAGATTTGGACAACCATCCGTTGTCACGCCTGCCAGCTTGTCCCATTTCAGTCCCAACTCTTTTACACACATGCATTTACCTCCGTGAACAAATCACTCGCTGTTGTTGTCCCTTTCATTGACTGCATGGCTGTCAGCTCCTCCGTGATTTTGAAGTCTGTAGTTATCCCACGTAGGAAGATGAGTAGCTGGGCAGTGTCACGTACATCGCAGCTCTTATCCAAAGCCAAGGAAAAAAAGTCAAAGTTGACCGCTCTGTTCTGCAGCTGAAGCTCCAGATTTCCCGCTTTGTCCTCAATTCTCCAGTGCGTCGGGAGAGCGGCACTTTCTCAAATGCCTCCTTTTTCTCCAGGCATATTAGTGTCCAACAAACACTCCTTAATGAACTCTCCCTCCGAAAACGGTTAACTTTTAAGACATAACTCGTCTTGACAGCTGCATCTCTGGATGTGGAATGTTTTGTGAAAATGTGTTGTTGGCTTTGCAGCTTAGCTAGCAAAGCATCCGACCCCTTTGCCCGCTCTTCCTCAGACAGGTTCTTGTATTTATCTGCGTGTTTGGTAGCATAGTGGCGACTCAAATTGTACTCCTTTAACACAGCGACCTGCGCACCACAAACTAAACACACAGCTTTACCTTTCACTTCTGTAAATAAATACTTAGCGGTCCATGTCTTGTTGAAAACGCGGCATTCAGTATCGATCTTTCTTTTTTTTCCCTTAGCGGACATTTCGAGGACTAGCCGGCCAGCATCACTCGTAGCTGTTCACGGCATAAGCGTTTACGTAAATAAATTAAAAAAACAGCAGCGCCCTTTTCAAAATAAAAGCAACACAGTTAGAAAAGTATTTACGCCATGCAAGCAATACAGCTGTGTTGCTTTTATTTTGAAAAGGTTGCTGTTTTTTTTCATTATGTTATAATTTATGATCAACCTCACACGGGCCGGCCAAGGCCGGCCAACGGGCCGGGTGTGGCCCGCGGGCCGTAAAATGCCCACCCCTGATATAGTGGGATCATCCCCAGAAGCCTTGATGTACAGATTTCTCTTTCCTTTAAGGGATGGATGCATAATAGCTTATGCAATTCTTGATAACATTATAAAGATGTGGGATACTGGATTGTTAATATATTTAAGACAGATTTTATCTGTGATATTTCTTATGAGACTTTAAATCGCTAAATATATATAAGCCCTGAATGCAGACGTGTTGATCATGCATCAAGCATCAAGCTAAAAAAAAAAATATATTTGCTCACCAGCAGGTCTGATGAGTTATTGGAAAGTGTGGCTCCTGTGAATATATAAATATATATATTAATTTCCCTGCATGGCAGTTTATGGTTACTAAGGTGTGGACAGATTAAGGGCCGTCTGGTGTGTCCTGCTGTGCATCGAAAATCTACGCACACCACCTTCAGTTTGTGGGATGTCTGCAACGGATGGATGAAATTGTCGACTTGGTTTAATATTTTTTCTTTTTAAATATACACTCTGGCTTAGCCATCTGAAAGGGTGTCAAGTGATTTCAAGAGGAAAAACTAGAGATTGCATATCAAATCACACATGGAAATAGAGCCCACACAGCAAAAAGTTTAAAGTTTAAAAAGTTTTATTTTGTTTCTTCAGGAGGACATCACATTCTGCAAGCATGAAAGCAGGTGTTAATATTTGAAAGACAGTCATCTTTGAAATGTCAAGGTTTCAAACATTTACCTGCAACTTCCAATTCAAAAATCCATGTTGGTTACCATTTGGTCCTGAAAGGCAAACGTTAGTTATCAGGCATTGGTTTAAACAGGCATTTAGGAGAATGAAGCTTGAAGCTGTGCACATACCTTGGAGAGTAGCTGGTGTTGGATTGTCGATACTGTGCTCGCTGGTAGCTGTTTCTAGACTGGCTTATATAGCTTTGAGCGAATGGTTCACTCACTCTCTGGGGAGCCAACGCTTTTCTGGGGCTAGAAACTGGTTTTAGCATATTTCCATAATTTTGCTTTGCAGGTTGGGCCCTTTCATTTGCTGGGTTCTTGGGGAATGAGGGCCCTTTTGGTGGTGGAGCAGATCCTGTTGAAGTCCCCTGGCCCACAGCTTGACCATACCCTCCTGCAGTATTGGAAGTGTCAATATTCTCAGATGGATATTGAAAGACGTCTTTAAAAACAAGATGAGGGATGTTCCTTGAGTCAATTTCACGGGAGCCAATGTGGATGTTCTGGTTAGCCAAACTAGAACCACCGCTTGCTGGCTTAGGCTGCCACGACTCAACGCTTGGAAACTTTACAACATTGGATGTGGAAGATGGTGCAGGCTCCAAGGCGGCTTCACGAGTAAACACAACAGCTGGATAAGCAGGCATACCATTTGTAGAAGGA